ATGCACCAGTGCATATCAACGTTTACCTCCGTTGTTCAGCACACTGGTGCCGTGACATCAGTGTAAACATTTCCAACAGTACCTGTAGTTTAATAGGAAATGGAACAGGAGCCAAATCTTGAGCCAGTATAAAACAGCCAGTATGAAACAGAGCTTCATTGATGGAGCTACTTTAACTACACCTGCTGGTTTAACCTGTATAAATATCATTACACTTACAAACAGCTCTGGAAGATGCACTGAAATGCATGGAAAGTTGTAGTCAAACTCTTCACCTTTTGCCATTGATTGAAATGTCATATGAACATCTTACAGACTGGCTTTTTGTTACTTCCTGCCAGGGGACTTGTTACTTGGGTTCCGTAATATTTTTTTAGCCATGCTTGACGCATACGGAAGTGATATTAGGATTTTTGACAGCTACAGAAGGACTACTTTTCACTGCATGTACAAAGGAAAAGGGGGAATTCAAGTCAACAAACCAGCAGCTGGAGATCTCTTTGTACTTCAGGCAGCACGTGGGGATGAAACTGGCCTCTTGTCTGAAAGATGGAGGTCAGAGAGAATCTCTTGCCTCCTTCCCCATGAGTTGAAGTGGACAAGAAGCATGCATTAAAGAAAACGGAGCAAAAAAACCTGTGAAACTATTTCCACTACGGTGAAGTTCCATTGGAATTATGGCTACCTTGACAGAGCTCGCATTTTTATTTCTGCTGCTATTTGGCTGAAAATTGGTTTATGCAATCATGGCAGCACACCAGTTCTTCATGCATGGCTTGGTACTTCAGCAGTATATCAACACGGAACAAACATCTAGTGCTAAAGTCTACTCTCAGAGGCATGTTTGACTCCCAATGGGGGTAAATAGATGTATATCTGAGGGCAGCATTTGGCCCATATAAATAATCTCTTAATTTCTGTAATCTTCAAGATGCTGAAATGCTTACCATCACCACAGGTGTAATTTTTTAACATTGTAAGCAAACATTGTTCCCGTATGTTTGAGATCCAGAGTTATGGGCATGATCCTCAACTGGTATGAAACTGAAATCTCCATTGAAATCAGTGGAGCACTGACACTTTGCCCAGCTAAAGGCCAGTCTCTTTGCTTCTTGCTTTATGATTATGTGTTGTGGTTTGGGGAGCAGTTTTGCAGTTTACAGCATTCCAAATATTGATAGCACATAGAAATAACCAGGCACACAGAAATAACCATCTCAGATAAAAGCCCCAGCTCCTTTCTTTTTTTTTTCCTTTTAAAGGATCTGTCAACATCTCTGAAATATGAAAGTATTTTAGCCTGCAGTGCCCAAGTTACTAAGAGGTTATTTTATGTAAGTACACTTGTCCTGTTGAATCTTTTTTCTGAAGAAATGGGTTAGATTTGTTTGCTATTTGTAAGGGTGATTTTCCTTCTTGTAGGAAGATAGTTTGGAGCCCAACTACGCAAATAATACTCAGGGTAATGTACATGGAATGGGGGGGAGGTTTAGCATTGTGGAATAATCCAAGGTGCAATGTGATATTTTCATTTAAAAGTGTCAAATTCTATATGATTAGAACGGAAACCATTTATCCTTTCCAGAACATGTGGGGAGCAAGGAAACCTTGCCTTCTGCAGAAAGTTTACACCAGTGGTTCTCAACTTTGTTGTACCAGGACCCATTTGTAAACATTGATGGCCAGTCCAAAGCCAGTAAATAGCTGGAATAGAAAACACCCCTCACTCTGTCTGCCTGCAAGGGAAAACCCACCATTTCCCACGTTTTTCTCCTTTAAAGGAGAATCAATTTTAAAAGTTGTCTGATCCATTTTAAAGTTTGTTTGTCACCCTTTCATATGTTCTTGCAACCCACTTTTGGGTTGTGACCCCCAAGTTGAGAAAAGCTGGTTTATACAACATGGATTGAGTGTCAGGTTAATTGAAGATGAAATAGTCGACAAACCACAGGATATAATATATATTGTGTCACTTATGACACTCCCAAAATGAGCTTCTGAGGTAAAATTTGCTCTGGTGCAGAGAGACCAAGACCCTATATATGCACCACTGAAGTCCCGTTTACATCCCTGAAGTAAGACTTCAGTGCCAAAGAGGCTTTGTATTGGTGCTGTTTGGGGTAGAGGTTCATCTCTGAGGTCTTATTTAATAATCCAAGGTCTGTTTAAAAAAATGCATTTAAATTCCACAAGCCTGTTAGACCACTTGATTTCCATGTAATATAAAACTGTTATAAAGAAACGACAGCTAACTGGAAGATTACTGCCACTGAAGTCACCTTGAATTACAGTACCTGCTGTTCCAAAATGTTACGGCATAATAAAGAGTGTTGACTTAATTTTCTGCAGCAGTTAATTTATGCATTGGACTATAATGAATTATGTTACCTGTTCAGTGAAGTTACAGTATTGCAGCCTGATTCTTTTTATTCTGTAGAATGACTCTTGAGACTGTAAAAGGGACAAGAAATAATAAGCTTATTGAGTGAGACTGTCAGTCAAACTAAGATTGATGGCTGAGCATCTTTGATTCCTTGTATTAAGAGGGTTTTTGATAGTGCTATTGACTACAGAAGTAGTGTTCAGCCTTTCAGACTTACAGGCCAGATGAGTGTGCAGGACCAATGTATGGGCTAGATCTGCATGGTCAGTGCATGGAGTTTGGCCTTCTGTGCTCAGACCATGTCTCATATGCCTGGATCCCACAGACCAGGGGTTAAGATCCCCTGGACTGCAGTACTCCTGATTCACACTCGTGTTCCCAGAGATCACTTTAATCATCCAGCAAATCTCAGTTGCATGGCACCTTACTTTGCAGTTGGGTCTGGTGAGTATGTATCTGACTGCTTAAAGCATTCTGCTGTGGTAGCAGAGGAAGAGGTTTAAGTCCTACCCAGTGGCGTACCGGGGGTCTCCAGTGCCTGGGGGCCAATGCTTACATTTGCAGCTCCCCCATATGCGGCCAATTGCCAAGCGGGGTGGCGGGGGGGAGTCCCCTGGTGGCCAATCGCCAAGCCCGGAAGTGGTGGCAGTGAAACCAGAAGTGCTGGTGGGCAGCAAGGCTGGCTGGCGCCATCCCCTCCCCCCCCTGCCAGGCCAGCACCCCACCCCACTTGGTACACCACTGGTCCTACCTCAGATGCATGTTCTGATGGCTGCCCCTGGTCAAATAGAGGTAGTTAGCCATATTAGTCTGAAGCCAGGCAGAAGGCAGGGTAGAGATGCACCTTACAGAGTATCTAAATAAGATGAATACAAGAGGTGGGAAGGAAGGAGGGCAGGGGAGAGGGGGAATAGTGCTGGGAGAGGTAAACAGTAAACAACTCACAGAAGCAAAGGGATCACAGAAGCTAATCCAGGTAACAGAATGAGAATCCATAGTCCCTATGTAAACCATACTTAACACAAGCCAGTTTGCAGATGATTTCATTTCCTGCAATTTCCTGTTCAAACTATTTTTTAAAATTTTGCAGCCTGAGACCAGCAATTCTGAGGGCAGCATGGAGTGTTCAGATAAATTAAAATGTTCTACCCCAGGCCTTTGTGTCTGCCTGTAGCTGGTATCAAATCATCTAAGATCACCCTGTGTGTCCGATATAGACAGTGGAAGGGCACTGTCAGCAGTGATGGTATATACAATGTTGGTAGAGTTGCAGGTGAATGCACCTCGGATGCTGTACTCTTTGGTATATGGCCAGTCATGATTGATGCTGACAGGTGTGCAGCTCCCCACTGTAACTCATGGTGCTTCACAGGACATGCCATGAGTTACAACAACCCCTTTCCCACCCCCCATCCAGCAGATGTTCACTGTTGGGGGGGAGGGGGGAATCAAGCTCCACTTTGGAGCTGATTCATGGGAAAAAGGCTGCCTGTCTGCCTGTCTCTCCCCTAGCCCTGCCCACCCCCCAGCTTTGGTGCTCTCTTCAGAATGGGAGAGGGGGAAGGGAAGGGAGGGAGCTCCACCTGGGGCTTTCCCAGCCAGGGCTGGAAGGTGGGACAACTGGACAAGTGGACAGTCCACCAGTCTCACTCTCCAGTGCAGGCTGGGCAAACCCCAGGCAGACTTCCCTCCCCTCCTTCCCCCACCTGTCCTGAAGACAGCACATGGGGCGGGACTAGGCTGATGCAGCCCAGCCCTGCTCCTGAGCAAGGACAAATAGAAGTTCATCTGAATCGTTATTAAATGAGGGTTAATTTGTCCCATGATTGGGCACTTTTAAAGCAATCTGCAGCTGTGCACTTCTGTCAGGGCACAGATTTAGAGCCTTCTCAAGGGACTGATTGTGCAAAAAGCAGCTTCTGTCTGTACCTGATGTGGTCTGTATTAACATGGGGGCAGTCAACCCAGCTGTAAACACATGCCTGGTCTCAGGCTGGAGAGTCAAAGGCAGCTGAACGTGATACTAGCCAAATCACTCCCTCAGGTGTCATAGAAATTGATATGTTCTAACCTCACTAGTCTGATAGGCCATTTGGCTCAGCAGACTTTTGGCAGGTGAATCACCTGCAGGAAGGAGGCTGATATGAAGGTGGGGAGGATGGGTACAAGAAAATGCTTGTATACTCTCTCAACTGCCTTTCTTTCTTCCAACTACTATTTTTTTCTGTTTCCTGCACACTCACCGGCTTTTCTTTGCTGTGATGTGATGGGGAGCAGACAGAAATCTGTGGCAATTCATGTACAAAGCATGTGTTTGGATGTTTATATTACAGACAAAAGGCTTAAACCTTGACTACTGTAAACAGGAGAGAATAGATTGCCACAAAATGTGAAAGGCATATGCCAGTTTGTGCCAGCTGATGACCTGTGCCAAATACTGTTTCCATGTTCAGTTTTTTTTCCATTAAAACATTCTCTTTCTAAGGAAGGGAGCCAGATGCTATGTTTATTATTTGTAGAGAAGCACTGTCATTTCTGGTTTAAAAAGCATGCATTATTTGTATTTTTCTTCTAGATATCAGGCTTTAGGAAGAGAAAGGACTAAGAATTACAGAAGATGATATTGCCATCTAATGATACAGCACTGAATTCACTCCTTTCCAAGTTGCTACAAGAATACATGGACCAGAAAAATAACACTGTGCATTCTCAGGTTGGAAGACACACTGACAATTTGGAAATACTCTATGTAGTCCTGTTACTTGGCTTCTTTGGCTTCTTCACACTTGGAACAATGCTTAACTACATCCGTTCAAAAAAGCTAGAGCACTCCAATGACCCATACAATGTGTATATTGCGACAGATGTTTGGCATAAGGAGGACAAGGCAAGTTTTAAAGCAAAAGTTATAGAAAGCTACAAACTGTGCAGCGTGTTTGAAAACCAGCTTGCAGTAGAACAACCTAATAACCAGATTCCTGAGGTGAAGTCTTCGTAGTGAATTGGGAAAAGGATGGACAAGGATAGGGCTAGATCTTAACCTAGTCTCAATCCAAATAGCTCCTTGCTCAGCCTACACAAAAACGTACAAAATGCTCCTTCTATGTATTCATCTATTGAGATTTGGTAGAACTGCCTTCTCCATGCTCTTCCCTCTTATCCCCCCGCAATGGCATAAGGATGTTGGCAAAGCATCCTAGCTTGAATGTTGATGTGCAGTGATTGTTAGGACCAAGAATAGCTTTGGCCAGACCTTTGCTGACGTAAATCCATATAGTTCCACCAGTTTTACCAGATGAGGCTCTATCCTTTCTTATTGATTACAATGCTGATGCAGCTGGCACTGGCACTTCTATAAGGTTGCATAATCAAAACCAAGACTATAATGAGAACCAATCAGAAACGTTAGTAATCAAGTGCTGTCTAGGCAACTCTGCCTTTTCAAAATCAGGAAGGGATGGATCAACAGAACTGGTTGAAACACTGCATGCAAAAAATATTGGGTGTTTTGTTTTGTTTTTTATGAACAATTGCCTTTTTCCTAGGTGAAAAGGTTTATGGAAGGTGTGCTTCATTTAGAAATTCCTGTCTTATTTAAGGAAAATATGAATTTTGTTTTCCATTGAAAAAATTAAATTTGTGCAAAAACTCAACAATATATTTTGATTTTTTTTTTTTTGTGAACATTTTATTATCTAACAAGCTTGATAGATCAACCCCTCTCACCCACCACTGAATGAAGAAGATGTGATAGGGAAGACACTTGCCCTTTCACAAAGGCCGCATGGGGTCTATGCATCATTAAACCCTATTCATATGCTACTTGCAGAATTAAAACAAGGTGTAAGTGATGCACAGACTGACCATGTGCTGGCCCTCTGGACAAGGGCGTATTTCATGCTATGTGTACAGTTTGTTTCATAAAAACTCTGCTGTTTAGGTCCTGATTAAGCACATTCTGAAGTGACTTGATTTATATTTAAGCCTGTAGCTAGTTCCCCTGACTTCCAAGATTGCTCTGAAACCCTGTCATCTCACTCACTTTGTTCACAACACAGTGGCCAACGTACAGCTCCTGACAGATAGCAGGTTCTTCTTCCTAGGGCATTTTTGTTTGCTCTCTCTGGTGAACCTTCACAGTGCCCATGAGCCAGGCTGAAATGCCTCAACTGAACTCAGTATCCCCAGTTGGGTGTGGAGACTGAAACAAACAGAAGGAAGTATTACTTGCCTCCATTAAAGCAGCGATATGTGGCTTTCCCAGGCATTGCATCTCTCAAAATAGAGCCTCTGCATCTTCTATATTATTTTCATACTTTGTCCAAATGAAGCATGCCTTGGGCCAAAATGTGGCTTCAGCTCTGCAGCATAGGTACAGCTTCTGGTTAAAACATTCAGGAAACTTAAGGTCAGGTGGGAAAGGCAGTCCAGCCTGATTAGAGTGACACTCAAAAAGCAGCCCCGTCAGATGCAGAGACAGGAAGGCAGAGGCAGGAACAGCTCAAGATGGTGCAACTTGTTGTATTCAGAAGACATATTGACACAATTCCTCAGATCTTCTCTTGCCATGCTAGGTACTGCTCACGACATTAAACTGTCCTCTTAGAATAGCATTTGTGCTCCTAAGAACACGAGGTTATTAAAATGAAAAAGGAATGGTGGAGGTTTTAAAAGCAGTTTTAGAGGCTTTTGGACAAGCCTCTAAAGTCTTTCCATTGATTTGAGTGGAAAGCATATGATTGGAGAGCCCAGGGCTGCCTCAAAAATCTCTATCACTGCCGCTATTCAGTTTTCTTTTCCTGAGAGATGGGTACATATCCCAAAGCCACATATCCAGACTTTGGAGAAATTTAGCTGTCCCCCCTGGGATCCATCTCTTTTTAGTGCTGACTATAGCATGGGTTTATTTTTTTGCACTTCTCTTAGTATGATATACTAAGTGAAATACGGACTAAAATGCATATACGGACTAAATATTTTTTCTTTCCCCTGTTCTGCAGTTAATTTTGAGTAAAGCATTCCTAAAGAATATTTAAATCAAAACAAAAATATTTTTAATTCCAAGGAAACATTTTTTAAAAAACCCCATTGATGTGAACTTGTGTTAAACCTATTAAAAACAATCATCTCCTCACTATGAGCCTAGATCACTTGACAAGTCCCCTTCATTCAAAAGAATGCATTGTACTTGCAATATAATTATTTCTGATGAAGATGATTCACATTTTAGTTATTATATAACTTCTATGTCATTTGAAACCAATGCTTTTTTATATATAAAAGAGGAAAACAAACCCACAACTTGATAGTAATGATTTCCTCTATAGAGGAGCATTAAATCAACCTTTCAGTAGTGGTATAAAAGCATACCAAAGACATTGACTGTTAACTTTTATTCTTGTAATTCTTGGTTTTGTGAAAATTGTTTTCCTTTTTACATGATTAATAAAAAAGGTAATTATGAAAATGTGGTGGGACCTCAGATATTGTCCCTCATCATCAGCTATTGCTTGAGGGTTATATAAAAAATATGTTACTGTTTGAATGACTATCTACCTTCCTACCTCGTTCTTGCCTTCTGCTTTTACACCATATTCACCACCTTTAGATCTATGCACCTTGAGATGCTTATGATATAGATCAGTGGTGCTCATCCTTTGGCCCACAGGCCAGATCCACTGATGAAACTACATCTTTTGATGATCCATTCTTGTACCACTGGCAAGAAACCTGTATCAGTGGTTCACTGCCACATTGAAAAGATGTATCAAGTGGAACTGGGGTCTCTCATGGGTTTGGTACTACTCAGTATTTTCATTAATGACCTGGAGGATGGGAGAACATACTTATTAAAGCTGTAGACAAGACAAAGCTGGGAGGGGTTGCAAACATTTTGGGGGACAGGATTAGAATTGAAAATGATCTTGGACAAAAACAACAAAATAACAAAAATAAATAAATAACATCCCAACAGCTTCTAACTGGTGTATGAATTCAGCCCCTTCTCCTAGCAAACATCCGGCTCCCCAGCTACTTTTTAAAAAAAAATAGGTATGAGCAAATAATATGCAACACATTTACCTGCTGTCCTTTATGTACTTGCAGCATTCCTATATCCTGATGTCCTCACCGTGTTAGGCGAAAAGAGGACCTTCTGTCATTAGGTAAATGGGTTTGCTCAATACCTATTTTTTAAAAAGTGTAGCTATGGAGGCTGAAATTAGCTAGGAGAATGAGCAGGTGCATGCAGGTAGCAGATCGTGGCTCTGCCTCAGCTCCAAACTACACTGTCACCTCTGCAAGATCCCAGCCCTGCTCCGGAGCAGGTTCCAGCCCAGCCACAGCTGCCAACAGTGCTGGAGCTGGTCTCCTTGGAAACTCTGGCCCTGTGGCCCCACTGCTGCTGGGGTCTCCGTGGAAACTGGCCTCAGCAACGGGCAGGGGCTGCAGGGAAATGGAGTCCAATTGCCAGCTAGAGCCACCATTTTGCCCACCCCTGCTCTGTAGGTTCCTCCAGTTTCCATGTTCTATGCCTATCCAAGGGGGTGGTGCAGTGCAGGGCACTTAGGGTGAGGGCAAGGCCATGAAGTGTGCAATGCAGTGGTGAGGGGGAAAGGAGGTTGACATCCACATAGGGCTGTTGGGCATATGCTGTAGCAGGGGGAAGGGTGCAGGCATGCAGTGCAATGGTGGTGACATGCATGCAGTTTGTTTTGTGGGGTCCTGTGACCCCCCACTAGTGCAGCCCTTGGGGCATGCTGTGCACAGGGTGTGACACTCCTAGCCTCTTAGCAATGGGACAGTCCTGGGTTATAGACGGTCATGTGTCAGGTATAATTCAGGCACAGTTGATCCTAGCAGGACCCACTAGATGGACCTCATAGTGTTCCTTCTAATTTAATTTTCTGTGAATCCATTATTGGTAAATCAAACGTAATGAAGTTAGCATACCTAAGCCAAGCTGCCATCTGAATTTCAAAGCTTTACATAGATCTTATAACTCCCACTCCCTGTGTTGTTCTCACTGACTCATTCAGGAGTGAGGATGCTAAAGCCAGAAGAAAGAGCATTCATTGGGTGAAAAATGCATATGGATGTGCAGTTATCTCTTATTTGGTTATACTTGCATAGGCAAAAGACCAGCAGCCAAAATTGCCATATGAAGATCACACAGCAGCATTTCCATATCCTGATGTGCTCAGCATGTTAGGCTGCAATAGGAGCTTCTGTCATTAGGTAAATGAGTTTGCTCAATACCTATTTTTTTAAAGCAGCTCTGGAGCCAGACATTAACTAAGAGAATGGCCTGAGTTCATATACAGGTCAGAAGCTGTTGGCATTTTAGTTATTTATTTTTGTTTCCTTTTTAACAGATTTGTATTATTCAAGGAGGCAATGCTAATACTCAGTAGTAGAAACTAGTATGTCTACATGCACAGTGATTTTCCTGCAGCTACTGGGTTTTGCTGTCACTAGATATTGGGTGTCTATTTCTGAGCAAGACAGTAGGTACATTCAAAATCAAGATTTTTAAGGCTGCAATACAGGCCTCAAAACTTGCACTATCTCATGGTCTCATGGTTACCTTAGTGTGGTAAGCTGTCTTCTGCTTACACAAAGCAAGAGTCCCTGCTCTAAAGACTTTATCATTTAAGCTGACAAAGGGTGCATCTACATGTTCATTAATGCACCATAATTATGGTGCATTAAGTTTAGTACTTATAATGACAGGTACTAACTTAATGTGCTGTAATCAGCACTATAAAGCAGTAGCACAAATGAACACTTTTTTAGTGACATTAATGCGCATTAAACTAAATCTACTGCACATTAGCACAGGCTTTGCCTATTGCACTAATGCTCAGTAGAATTGGTCTTCTGTTCATTAAGCATCTTGTGTAGATGCCCCCAAAGAGTGACAGAAGAGTAGTATTTATTCCTCTTATTTCTACAGGGAGAACTGGGCATGTCTACATGAGATGCTATGTCACCGTAGCAACACACTATGGCAACATAGCATCAGTGGACACAAACCATGACACTGCAGCTAGGTCGCCATAGCAAT